GGGTCAAGCACGCGGCCGGGAGAGCCGGGAAGGCGGCAGGAATAGGCTGGGAGCCGCTCATCCCCGCAGATACGGCGAGCTTGCTTCCCCGCCTTTCCGGGGATGCGGAGAAATATGACTTCATACTTTCCTGCCACAGCGAGGCGGGCAGTTTTCACTCTCCCTCTGCCGGAACGGCTGGACAACCCCTCCCCCCCCCGGAGAATGTCCATCAAAGGAAGGGGGTCAGCTCATTTTGCCACCTGCTCCGGGGACAGGACTCCGGTCACCGCGTGGATGAAGACCTGGATCAGTAAACGGGCGAACGGAGAGAGCATGTTAGCACAAACGTGAAAAAGTCTTAAGATAATCGCCGTGGACGAGCACACGGGTGGCGGGGTGGGGTTGCTGTGGCCTGTCATCTTGCCGACTTAGCAAAACTTCCCTGAAGTATTTTGGCTGCTCTGATTTTGGGGCTGGAACGGTAGAATTTCACTCTTTCCCAACGAGTGCTGTAGGTTATCTTGAAGCTCGGGAGCATAAACATAGATGTTTGGTCCCCCGTAACTTAGTTAACCAGCTACCCAAAGTGATCCTCGTGGGTATGGTCTCTCTTGCTGAAATCCACCAACAGAGGTTTGCTAAAGGAGATCAAAGGCCACCAAGTGGATTCCTACGGGCACACAGTGTAAGGCAAATGGGCATTTGATGAAATAAACACACGCCTTCTCTAACAGTTACAGGAAGAGAGCGGTGTTAACCTACGGTAGCCAAAAATCTGTTCGACTGAAAAAGGGCTAGCCCCCTTCTAAGAGGGACCACCGAGATAAAGTAGACCACCAGTCCCAGAATTCCCTTTGGCCACGCAGGTTGGGAATTCTGTGACTTCTGACACCTCTGAAAGGCACAGAATTGTATGAATTTGTACCGATTTCCCCTCTGCCACTTCCTATCCTTGCAGGATCCTTCACTTCTGCAGCTGTGGGAACTCTATCTTAAATATTAGGAAGGACCGAGATGATCCATTTGATTTCTTAGGTGAATATCGTCCTTCATCCTTAATGATTTCACAGAGGGGAAGTTCCTTTTTTTATATATAATATTTTTAGTGAAGTTTTACATATAGAAAAGCTAATATAGAACTAAAGGAATCTACAAACAAAAAAGAAGAAGAGAAAGAAGAAAAGAGAGAAGAAAGAAATATAAAAGATGATTTCCCTCCAAACAAGTATAGGCATTAACAGTAACGTAACACCTTCTGTAATATAGAGGGGAGGTTCCTTGATTCATATGCAAACACCACCATTCTTGGTTTGTTTTCCTGTGTTTGTTTTGAAAGATTAATAGCAGCTGCTGGGAATTATTATTATTATTATTATTATTATTATTATTATTATTTTGGCAAAACCTCTACAGCAGCCTTGGAAAGGAACGCTGAAATGATGACGCATATCAAGAAAAACTTTAATCCAATGTATGGCTGCTGTGAAAGAAGTAAATTACACAGTGAAGGTCATTAGGAGTGGAATGGACTGTAATTTTCTTATATAAAGTGGTGATGTGACCATGGCAGAAATTCTGAGAATATAGCCTGCTTCAGAAAGGGGGAGAGAAGAGAAATCAACAAGATTAAGAGATCAAACAGCTCCCATATGAGGAAAAGTTACGACATCTGGGATGTTTAGATGAAAAAAAGTGGAGGGAGAAACTAACAGAATACAATAGGGGGATTCAAACCTTTTCAGGTCATGTTAAAAAATAATCCTGGAAGATTATTATCAATTAATAATAATATTAATAACTATTATTATTATTATTATTATTATTATCAAGAGGCAAAGCTCTAGTGATAGAAAATTGGCTGTGTTCAAGAGAACTCCCCCCCTTACTCTTTTATGGAACCCCATCAAATTCTCACAGAATTCCCCAGGTTCCCCAGAAAACAGTTTGAAAAACTCTGTAGTAAAGAATTAGGCCTTGCCTTGAAAAGTGAATCTTACCTGTACAGAGGTAAGTGCAGGACGAACGCAGGTCACACTCATTTCTCTCCCACATAACTCAAGACACAATACGACTGAGCCCCTATTTAGCAAAATAGAGGGCCATGAGAAAATAAGCAGAGGGTTCCTTTATTTTTTTCCTGGCCATCGAGTTACGATCTGGAATTCTGCAACTTGCATCTGGAAGGCCCTAGCAGGATGTGATCACCTAATCCTTGTGGTTTACAAAGGGTGACAGGTGGCTTCTTGGCCAATGTGGGTCCAGCCATCCTGGCATGTTCAATAAACTGTGCTTAAAAGACCATGCAAAGCTGGGGGGGTCACTCATAATCCAGAAAAAGTGATTGGGGGTCCTCCAGCAAAAAAGCCACACCCTTTTTTTGTAGCCTGCAGATGATCAATTGCGACCGGCTGCTGTGGAAACAGAACGCTGGCCTAGGCGATGATCCTTGGATTGGTCCAAGGAGGCTCTTCTATTTTGGGGCTAGTCAAAATTATATTAAGGGGGAGGGACAATGTCCTGAGTTGTATTCAGGCAGACACTTGCATTTATTTATTTGATCGCATTTGTATAGTCACCCATCTCACATAGTGACTCTGGGGGACGTACATCGTAATAATCAAAAATATATGAAACCGTTAAAACAACCAATTTAAATGAAAATGAAAGCAAGATTAAAAAAAAATGGCAGGAAAACATACAGAGAGTGTTTCCATTAACTGTCATATAACC